TAACCACCTGACCATGCCGGGATACTGCTGGTGATTGAAACGAGATGCTCCAGACGTAATACATAAAAAAAAAGCCACAACACATAATTCGGAGACTAAAACACGTAGGTTTCACACACATACACACACACACACAAAAAAAACAGGATGAATGAAGATGCATATTCGTTTGACATCAATGTTCTTCCCTTTTCTTCAGTTTGTTTATATTTTTTGTTAACAAACACAATAATAAATAATGTTCATTGTGGTAAACGAAATAATAATTTGATATGAGGAAGAGTTTTTTCTTCCAGATTTGTAAAAAATCCTTACGTGATTGAAAACAATGAATATTATTTTCAAAATCTGCATAGCTGAATTATGGAAAATCTGTTATTAAAACCAAAACAACTTTTATGAAGTTTAAGTTCGCAGGCCTGTGTAATTTACATGCCAAACATATTTTTGAATTGTTTTGATTCCGAGTCAAGCGTACCTCGTAACCAAAGCAGATAGTGGGTATCACTAAAAATATATCAGTCCAGACCGTAGGACTTGTCTTCACTGGGCCAGGGGTGTAATTTCCAGCGAAGTACTCGTATATAATAAGAAAAACCACATACAACAGCGCGACAACTCCGAATGAACTAGAAAAGAAAAAGTAACATACATATATATATATATATATAACATTCTTTTTTTCATGATAAAACTCTATGATAACAATAAAAACAATATAATTTTCTATGCCTACTTCTTTAGATCATTTACTGATTATTTGTTATGCTTACTGAACCGAAAAACTTCAGTTTTTATTCCACCTTAAAATTTTCAGGACTAAATTAAAAAATACACAACACTGTAAAAACAGCAACAAAAAAGCCATACTATCCCAATACGATCTCACAAAAATTCTAAATTCCCCTTTTGTAAAACTTTTTATCTAATATGCTAAAACTTTGGCACTTAAACATGAACTAAGATATGACACATACACGAATCTTTTTTTGTTTGTTTCAAGTACAGCATTCTCTTCTTTCAACAATTTACAATTACAATTATTTTTTTAATTTAGTATAGTGTTTATTTATCTAAAAAATGGAAATCTTTCAGTTAGCTACCTGGCGTACTGGAGGAAGTTTATTCTTTTAGGGAAGCTAAGTGGCAAAATGATGCAGATGGCGCTGACGATTGTTGTTAGCTCCCTTCTCATGTACCAGTTGTTACAAACGTCCATTCCATACAGTGATCGGAGCACTAGAAGACGTGAATAGATTTGAACTATGATTTAACACTTTGTCTCACTATTCTGAGCTATATGAAATTATGCATTATACTATAAGAGAAAACTGTTATATAATAACAGTAATTAATTAGATAATTTATTAACAAAGTAAAAGAAAAAAAAAACAATAACCCAAGCGCTTTCGAAAGGTAGGTTTTTCCTTCTTAAGGAAAATTAATTGATGGCTTCACTCCTGAAGAAGGCTGTAGTTTTATCCACTTTTTTCTTCTTTTTTAGAAATCGTCGATCAAAACGTCAGGTTATTCAGTAGCGCACTATTCCTGGACCACCCTGTATTAATAATGCCAATAAATTATCCAACATCACACTAAGAAATGAAGAGAGATCTTATAAAACTACCTTTTTTGGGGGGAAAAGGACAACCATGGTCTTTTTGATTCTAAAACAAATTTAGACTTGAACGCGATTTAATCATACCAGATACTATTAAAATTCACATAAGAAAAAGCGAATTACAAAATTTAGTGTTTTTAGAACAAAGCCATTGTAGGCTATCTGCTGTGTCCACCACGGGGAATCGAACACCGGATTTTAGCTTACCACTGTCCCACCGGAGGACATTACGTAGTTTCTTATGATCCACCATTTCTGGACTGCCTTCTGCTAATATTCTAATTAAAATTTTGAAAACCAAACCCTAATGCGTGTACTTACAGCTAGTTAATTCCTAAAGACTATTTCTATTATCTGACCAATTTGACAAATGGTTTGTTTACGCGTGCTCTCAACGACCTGGGATTTACTCTTTATGCACAACCTAACAGTTACTAACCAACCATTGCGTGCGCTTAACGCTGTTTTATCATAAACCATTTACAAGTTTCTGTATCACTGCTTTTGATCACAGTTGATAAAAAGTGAAACTAATAGTTAATGTATATACGCATGTCTTGCACTTATTTTACTTTTTTTAACTATTTAGATGAATATGAAGACACATAACATGAGGATAATAAACTACGATCCTATGTCGAGTTTACAGTACGATTTTGATGTCTACATAATATTTACCTAATTATTGTGTCCAGAGTTCTCTTTTATAATGTTATTCAGATTTCATAGATTTTAATGAAATAATAAGAAAAACTACGTTAATGAAAACGATCACTTCAAAACATGTAATATCGATACACATGGATGCTGAGAAGGAAGGAGAGGGGGACTTATCAACGATCTCCAAATACTAGGAAAACGCGCCCACAAAAGAGCTATTGAGAGAGGGTGGGGCGACGAATGAGAAAGAATTGTTTTCCGATTCAATAAAATAATAGCAGATGAAGCTCTTGACAAGTGAGTTTTAAATCGTTTTTGTGGAAATCTTGTGAACCCTTTACCGCGAGATCGTGCAGGTGAGGAAAGTGCCGAGACAATAAACCTAATATAATAAATGTTCTACTGTTATAAAATAAAAGTATTCAAATAGTGCACGTTATTCAGAATCCAACGGTTAAAAACAAATGATGTTTGGAGATATTCAGCTTCACAGTAACATTAACAAACCCATAATTATCTCTGTGTGTATAAGTTGTTAGAAGAAAGGCCGCTAGGTGTTTTACCCGTGTCAAACTGATCTCCTATAACGATTAGATACGTTACTGAGGATCCAAACGTATAAAAGACGATACAGACAGCACACACTCTTCGTGTTCTCTCCCCACAAATACTTCGGATAACTTCTTGGTAAGTACAACTTCCAATCACATCTGAACAGTAGGCCAAGGCCAATAAAGATGTTAACATAAACGCTAACAATACCTGAAAAAAAGAAGAAAAAGATTTGAAATCCTTAACGAGTTTGTTCTGCGAAGTTATCTACAAAAACCCAATAAAAGTTTACGATTTGTAGAATGATACAATTATTATTTTTTACTCTTGGTTGTCTTTCCAAAGGTATTTTTTGCTCTGATTTTTAAAGGAATTGCAAGAAAACGATCGTAACTTATGAAATAGGATTAACAGTTGGTAGTAAATTTTACACTTAATAATATCAAAATAAAATATAGAGATCACACTAATAATAAACTAGTACAACATGTTCTGAACATCTTGAAACGTAACTTTAAGAAATTAATACTTTAATTAATAGACGCTTATTGTTTGTTTGTTTTTGAATTTCGAGCAAAGCTACACGAGGGCTATCTGCGCTAGCCGTCCCTAATTTAGCAGTGTAAGGCTAGAGGAAAGGCAGCTAGTCATCACCATCCACCGTCAACACTTGGGCTACTCTTTTACCTACGAAAAGTGGGATTGGTCGTCACATTATAACGCCCCCACGGCTAAAAGGGTGAGCATGTTGGTGTGATGGGGATTCGAACCCAAGACCCTCAGATTGCGAGTCGAGTGTCGTAACCACCTGGCCATGTCGGGTCTTAGACGCTTCTACTTCATATTAATGTGAATAGATTATTTTTCTCTATATACTCATGTCGGGGAGAAAAGTACTTTTGTTTCAAATCACAGAAAATATACTTGCTTCGTTAGTATCACAAAAACCCGAATTAACAATTCGAAACAAATTTTATGGATGCTATCCTAATGATTAAAAATGAATAAAATTATAATAGTATTATATCATTAAAAAGTACTGTTGCCTCATCGAGATCACGTGACTATTCTCACGCCCTCTACTTTCTAGAACTATCCTGTACTTTGGAG